GCGGTGGTGGTGGTGCTGGAGGACCGTCCGGTGCTAGTGGTGCTGTGACTCGAGGCGCTCGCCCTGGCACTCTCCCCCCATGCACGTATGTGCGCCGCCATGGTCCCCATGCTGGTACCCCTTGCGGCCAAACCAACCATCCCCCCAGCACGTGCTTCAAGGCGCTCGACGACGCCTGGTTTGACCGAGGTAACACTGGCACCCCTCCTCGCTGGAACACTGTCACCCCTCGCCCCTCCCTGGTGGATGTTCAAACCCTCCCATCTTTCCTTCCTGCTCACCTCCGCCTGGTTAGCCCCTCCCAGCCTTCCCAGCTGCAGCAATTCCAGCAGCACCAGCAGCAGCAGCATCAGTACTTCCAGCAGCAGCAGCAGCAGCAGCAGCAGCAGCAGCAGCCGCAGTTTCTCCAGCCGCAGCAGCCGCCGCCGCCGCATTTCTTCCAACCGCCGCCGCAGCAGCAGCAGCAGTTCCTTCCCCCGTACTGGCAGCAGCAGCCACTGACCTTCGGCACGGCGGCTACGGCCGCCCATGCCTCCCTTGCTCCCCCCCCTCCCTGGGGTTCCCTCCCCTCTGCCCCCCCCAGTGTCCCCGACACTTCGGGCAGTTTCCTCGGTAATGTCAGTATTGCACCATCCGTCGCTTCCATGTATCCCTCTGCTATCAATGAAACTTCTTTCCAGTACCCCGTGTCACCTCCTCCTCCTTCTTCCCCCACCCTGGACTTCGTCCTTGATAGTGGGGCCACTGAAACCGCACTAAAGGACGCAGGTACTCTCACCCCCCTTCCACTTCCCACTCAGGTTCATGGAGCTGATTCCAGTTTTTCCATCCCTTGCACTCATCTCTCCACCCTCCCCTGCACTGCCTTCCCCTCCGGTAAAGTCACAGGCCTCCACATCCCCACTCTCCGCAACAACCTCATCTCCCACCGTGAGCTCCAAGGTGTTGGTATCACTGCCATCTACCCTGGTTATGCCAATTACTGTGACCTCTACCAGACTTCCTCTGGCCGCTTCCTTCTCCGCATCCCACTCTGCCCTCGCACTCGCCTCTACACACTCCGCACACCTCGCACATCCTACTGCCACGTCACCACCCGTGCTGGTACTTCCACCGGTCCACCCCCCCCTCCTTTACTTCCCCCCTCCCCTCCCCCTCAGGTATCCTCTCCCTCCCCGCCGTCCTCCTCCTCCCCTCCCGTCCCCTCCATCACCCCATCTCCCTCCTCCTCCACTACCCTCTCGCACCCTGCCGTTCTCTTACACCACAGACTCGGCCATCCCAACTTCACCGCCCTTCGCACCACAGTCACCTCCCGCCTCCTCCGCAGCCTTCCTCCCGTCTTACCCCCGCTTCCCTCCTCCCCCTCTCCCCCATGCCCTTCATGCATTCACGGCAAGCTCAAGCAGTCACCCCACCACAGTCATCCCACCTTCGCCGCCGCCCCCATCGACATTGACCTCTGGGGCCCCTATCCCATCCGCTCCCGCCAGGGGCACCGGTACATGCTCGTCCTCGTTGACGACCACAGCCGGTACTCCACCACCTTCTTTCTTCATACGAAAGACCAGGTGCCGGCAGTGGTCATCAACTGGGCCGAGCTGTGCCGCAATCACTTCAAACGCCCCATTGGCCGCCTTCACTCTGACGGTGGGGGTGAGTTCATCAATAACACTCTCGCCACATACTGCAAAACCTACGGTATCCAACAGACCTCCACTCTTCCCCATTCCCCTCAGCAGAACGGCATTGCCGAGAGCCGCATTCGTGAGATCACCAAGATAGCTCGCTGTCTCATTGCTCATGCCTCCACCCCGCCTTCCCTCTGGAGCTATGCCCTTCTCCACGCCGCCCTTCTCCTTAATCTCCGCTCCCATCCTCAGCACCCTTCCTCCTCCCCCACAGAGCTTTGGTCCAACACCAAACCTGACGCTGCCGGCCTTCGAGTTTGGGGATGCAAGGCCTACGTTCTCATTCCACCCGCCGATCGCTCCCGCGCCGCTGGCAAACTTGCTCCCCGTGCCCTGGAATGTGTCTACCTTGGGCACAACCGCGACTCCCCAGGCTACCTCTTCCTCCACCCTCCTACCAATCGCCTCATCCGCAGCAGCGACGTCGTCTTCGACGAGTCCGTCCCCTATTACTCCACTCCTCCCCCTGATCCTCTCCCTCCTCCTACTCGCCCTCTCGCCTGGACCGACACCGTCCTCCCGCCTCTCCTCCCCCCCGCTCCCCTCCTCCCACCTGTCGCCGCTCCACTCCCGCCTCCCTCCTCTGCCGACGTCTACGACCCCGCTGCACCCGCCTCCCCCGCCCACTCAGCTGCACCCCCTCCCTCCCCTCCCTCCTCCCATCACTCTCCCGCCCTTCCGCAGCAGCAGCAGCAGCTGGGGCAGCAGCAGCAGCAGCCGGGGCAGCAGCAGCAGCAGCCGGGGCAGCAGCAGCAGCAGCCGGAGCAGCAGCAGCAGCAGCAGCCGGGATGGCAGCAGCAGCAGCAACCGGTGCAGCAGCAGCAGCAGCAGCAGCAGCAGCAACGGCAGCAGCAACAGCAGCAGCGGCCTCAGCAGGGGCAGCAACCCCATTGCCCGCAGCGACAGCGCGCCACCTCCCGCTCCTCCCCCTTTCTCCTTCCCCGCATGCACACCAGATCTCTGGATCCCATCCTTGGGACCCCTCCTCCTCCTTCCCTGCAACTCCTTGAGGACTCTCACGAGGAGTTCCTCGCCATCCAGCAGCACACTCCGTTCATAGCCACCCTCTTTCTTGACTTCCTTGGCTTCCCCGTCCTCGGCGCCACCTCCACCCCCACCATCTTCACTCCCTCCACTTTCCAAGAGGCCATCACATGCCCTGACGCGGACAAGTGGATAGCAGCAATCTTCCAGGAGTGCGAGGCGTTTATCCGCAACGACTCCTTCGTCGACGTTCCCCTCCCTGACGGTGCCAATCTTGTCGAGGGCAAGTGGGTCTTTCGGGTGAAGCAACTGCCGGACGAGGAACCGGTCTACAAGGCCCGCTACTGCGCCAAGGGCTTTACACAGACACATGGGGAGGATTTTTGGTTCACTTACGCCCCCACCGCCAAACCCCCCACCCTTCGCGCAACCCTCGACGTTGGTGCGCGTGATAACATGGAGATCGACTGCATGGATGTCTCCAATGCGTTCCTACAGGGCGACCTGCATGAGCGCATTTTCCTCCGCCGGCCACCTGGGTTCCACGCAGCCTTCCCTGAGAACACTGTCTGGCAGCTGCGTCGCCCTGTCTACGGCTTGAAGCAGGCGCCGCGCGAGTGGCATGCAAAGCTGGCTGCCACCTTAGGGTCACTCGGCTTCTCTCCCTCCCACTCCGACGCCAGCCTCTTCATCCGCTCCTCCCCTCGCCGCTTCTTCATCCTGGTGTACGTGGATGACATGATCCTGCTCTCTGACACGAAGGCCGACATGGAGCAGATGAAGCAGTCCCTGCAGCAGCGTCTCAAGTGCAAAGATCTTGGAGCCCTCACCCACTACCTGGGCATGGCTATCACTCGTGACCGCTCTGCTCGCACCATCACCCTCTCCCAGTCCCATTACATCGGCCAGATCTTGGAGAAGTTCGACATGGCGCAGGCCAAGCCCGTCTCCACCCCCCTCCCCTTCGGCCACCAACTCGCCCCACCCACCTCTCCCACCTCCTCCCCTCACCCCTATGCCGAGCTCGTTGGGTCCCTGATGTACGCGATGATGTGCACCCGCCCCGACCTCGCCTATCCCATCAGCGTGCTCGCTCGCTTCGTCGGCACCGGCCGCCACAGTGAGGAGCACTGGAAGGCGGCCAAGCGGGTCCTCCGCTACCTTCGAGGGACCAAGGACCTTGCCCTCACCCTTGGCGGTTCTTCCCCTCCTCTCCTCTCGGGCTTCAGCGACTCCTCCTGGGCCGACACGCAGCCGGACCGCCGCTCCTCCCAGGGCTACGGCTTCACCCTTGGCAGCGGCCTCATCAGCTGGCGCTCCACCCGCTCCTCCGCCATCTCTCTCTCCACCTGCGAGGCCGAGCTCTACGCCGGCACCATGGCCGCTCAGGAGTCCCGCTGGCTCTGCTTCCTCCTTGCCGAGCTCGGCGCTCCCCAGACATGCCCCACTCTCTGGTGCGACAATGCCAGCACCATCCATCTCACTGAGGACCCTGTCTACCATGCCCGCTCCAAGCACATCGAGCTCCGCTATTTCTTCATTCGCGAGCTTGTCCAGAAGGGTCTCATTGCCGTTCGCAAAATTGCGACCGAGGCCAACCTGGCCGACATTTTTACCAAGGCCCTCCTTCGCCCTGCGCACTCCGCTTTCCTCCGCCTCATCGGCCTCGCTCGCCCGGGCGCTCCTTGATTCAGGGGTTGTTCTCTTCTTGTGTTAGCATGCTAAGGGGTTGTGTTAGAATTATATATATTGTAGCATGCTAAGCACATGTGACTGTACACCAATTGTGGTGTACAGTTGGGTTGGGACTACACCCAACATTGGGTGTAGCCTTGCACTTTGGGGTGCCAATCCACCCAATTGTGGTGGAGCCCCCAAATTGCAACCCTCTTGACTTTTTGGGTACCTCACTTCACAATTGAGGCCACCACAAGCCAAGTGGGCCTAGGGTTGCCACACTTCTTAGAAGTGTGGGCAACCCAACCCACCCCACCTATGGTTACCTCACTTCCCAAAGTGAGGCCAACCCAACCATAGGTTGGGTTCCTCCTTCCCTTCCAAGCTTCTCTTCCCAAACTATGTATGCTAGGTTTGCTCTCTAATCAAATCACTTGTTCAATTCACATCTTTGACATGCGAGGCTGTCGATCAGATCAGAGTGTCACCAGAGCCGAATCGACGGCGATGCATTGGAGGCGGCTTGCTGTTACCGGTGCAATACCAAGGCGCACGAGTGGCCAGCGTGCGCGTCGCGCGGTCTGATTGAGCTTCCCTAACACGCCCAGACGTTTTCCAGTAATAGCGCCCTCGAATCGCGAGAGCACTATGTCGAATCCGCACCGCGGTGGCCCAGTGCCGTTTGAGCTATATAATCTTCTCGTTGTGCTCGCTTCTCGCAAATCAACTGAGTGTCGCATTCACTCGTTAACAGCCCGACCTGCTGCGAGTGCAGCCCGCGCCACTCACCGCCGCATTCTGTCTCGTTCGTCGCCGTTCCTCTCCCACTGCGCCCTTCATCGCACCACCGCGCGCCATGCCTCGCCACGCCCTTCTCCCGCCGCGTCTCCGCCTCGCGCTGCTCCTCGCAGCAGTCGCCGCGTGCTTCGTCCCGTTAGCAACAGTAGCGGGGACGCCTCTAGCGGGACCGGAGTGCGAGAGCGAGTTCCCGCGGCTGTGCAAGTTCGTGGACGATCTGCGCGGCTCCATTCCCGAGCAGATCGACGCCTCCACCGGCACGCCCATCCGCATCGGCGCCTACCAGATCCGCCAGGCCAGTTCCCTCCCTCCGCCCTCCGCCCTCCGCCCTCTGCTTTTCCGCACGCAATTCCGCTTGCTCGCTTCCCCATATTCTCCTTTCTTTCTCGCTTCCCCGCACTCGCTTTTCCTCTCGCCCCTTCCCGACACCCCTCCGACACCTTCCTCCACCCCCCACGGGCTGCAGAAGCAGCACCGCGACCTGCCGCCCACGAAGCTGTACGCGTACGGCCGCAGCGCCGCCACCGCGCATTACCCCGGCCCCACGCTCGTCGCCCAGCGCGGCGTGCCCACCAAGGTAGTCACCGCCGCCTCCCCGCCCGCCCGTCGCTGCTCTCTAGTGTTCCTGCTGTTCTGTGTACCTATCGGAATGCCTGTGTGCGGGACAGGACTGTCCCGACCTTGCGGGACTATGTGCTGGTGCCTCGGGGGCCTGGGGTGGCGCATGGCAGGTATACTGGGGTCCCGCCTCCCCGCCTGGCTATCCGGCCGCCTTCCCGCCCGCCCGCCGCTGCTCTCTCTCGTGTTCTGCTGTGCGTGCTTCTATCGGAATGCCTATGTGCGGGGCTGTGCTGACTTTGACCGGGACTGTGTGCTGTTTGATGGTACCGGGGGGACGGGGTTCCGTGGCAGGTGTATTGGGAGAACCACCTGACGGACCGCCACCACATGTGTCCCGTCGACTACACCCTCGACGACGTTCCCCGCCCACTGCTGGGCGGCATTCCCATCGGTGAGCCACGCTGCTGGGCGGCATTCCCATCGGTGAGCCACGCTGCTGGGCGGCATTCCCATCGGTGAGCCACGCTGCTGGGCGGCATTCCCATCGGTGAGCCACGTTGCTGGGCGGCATTCCAATCGGTGAGCCACGCTGCTGGGCGGCATTCCCATCGGTGAGCCACGCTGCTGGGCGGCATTCCCATCGGTGAGCCACGCTGCTGGGCGGCATTCCCATCGGTGAGCCACGCTGCTGGGCGGCATTCCCATCGGTGAGCCACGCTGCTGGGCGGCATTCCCATCGGTGAGCCACGCTGCTGGGCGGCATTCCCATCGGTGAGCCACGCTGCTGGGCGGCATTCCCATCGGTGAGCCACGCTGCTGGGCGGCATTCCCATCGGTGAGCCACGCTGCTGGGCGGCATTCCCATCGGTGAGCCACGCTGCTGGGCGGCATTCCCATCGGTGAGCCACGCTGCTGGGCGGCATTCCCATCGGTGAGCCACGCTGCTGGGCGGCATTCCCATCGGTGAGCCACGCTGCTGGGCGGCATTCCCATCGGTGAGCCACGCTGCTGGGCGGCATTCCCATCGGTGAGCCACGCTGCTGGGCGGCATTCCTATCGGTGAGCCACGCTGCTGGGCGGCATTCCCATCGGTGAGCCACGCTGCTGGGCGGCATTCCCATCGGTGAGCCACGCTGCTGGGCGGCATTCCCATCGGTGAGCCACGCTGCTGGGCGGCATTCCCATCGGTGAGCCACGCTGCTGGGCGGCATTCCCATCGGTGAGCCACGCTGCTGGGCGGCATTCCCATCGGTGAGCCACGCTGCTGGGCGGCATTCCCATCGGTGAGCCACGCTGCTGGGCGGCATTCCCATCGGTGAGCCACGCTGCTGGGCGGCATTCCCATCGGCGAGCCACGCTGCTGGGCGGCATTCCCATCGGTGAGCCACGCTGCTGGGCGGCATTCCCATCGGTGAGCCACGCTGCTGGGCGGCATTCCCATCGGTGAGCCACGCTGCTGGGCGGCATTCCCATCGGTGAGCCACGCTGCTGGGCGGCATTCCCATCGGTGAGCCACGCTGCTGGGCGGCATCCCCATCGGTGAGCCACGCTGCTGGGCGGCATCCCCATCGGTGAGCCACGCTGCTGGGCGGCATCCCCATCGGTGAGCCACGCTGCTGGGCGGCATCCCCATCGGTGAGCCACGCTGCTGGGCGGCATTCCCATCGGTGAGCCACGCTGCTGGGCGGCATCCCCATCGGTGAGCCACGCTGCTGGGCGGCATCCCCATCGGTGAGCCGCCCTTGAGCCGCGCTGCCCCCCTGTAGAGTGCACTGTAGAGTCAGTGCACCGTGCATGTGCTGCCTCACCTCTCCTGCTCCTTCTGTTGGGCGGCATCCCCATCGGTGAGGCGCATTCCCATCGGTGAGCCTCGTTGCCTCATGTGGAGTCCACTGCCACTTGGTCCACGTGCTGACTCGCCTCTTCTGCTCCTCACTCGCGCTCCACTCCCCCCATCCCCCCCGTCGCCCAACCCCTCCCCCAACCCCTCCCAGTGACGCACCGGCACGAGGGCGAGCAGCCGGCCTTCTCAGACGGGCACCCCGAAGCCTGTTTCACGCAGTACAGCGAGGTGGGGCGCGCCTTGCGCACGCGGCTGTACCACTACCCCAACCACCAGCTGCCCACCACCCTCTGGTACCACGACCACGCCATCGCCATCACGCGCCTCAACATCGCTGCTGGCCTCACCGGCTTCTTCATCCTCACTGACCCGCGCGGGGTGGAGAGAACCCTAAACGCCTGGCTGCCGTAGGGGGAGTTCTGCGTGCCGCTGGCTCTGTCGGACCGGAGGTTCTTTGCTAACGGGTCGATTGATTTTCCGAGGCAGGGCGTGCTGCCGCGCGTGCACCCGCACTGGGTGCCCGAGTACCTGGGAGACAAAATCCTCGTCACTGGCAAGGTGCTCAGTCCTCCCTGACCTCTCCCCTCTGCTCCTCTCACTGCCACTCTCCTGCTCTCCCACTCTCCCACGTTTCCACTCCTCGTCTCCTCTGCTCTGTGTTCCCACGTTCCAGCTTTCTTTGCTTTTGTCATGTCACGGGTAATGTGCTGCCTGCTTCCTCTGCTCCCTGTCTTCCTCTCCCCCCTCATCTCCCCATTCTTCCTCCCCCCTTTGCTCTTCCCTGCCCTGCTTTATGCGTAGCAGGTGTGGCCGTACCTGAAGGTGCGGAGGGCGCTGTACCGCTTCCGGGTGTTGGGGGCGGCCAACACGCGCTTCTTCAATCTGCGCTTCATCTGCACCACCCCCCGCAACTTCACCCCGCCCTTCTCTGGCGACAAGCTGCCCATCATTGTGGTGCGTGCCAGCCACTGTGACTTGCCACTTTTCCCCAGCACCACTCCATGCCACTCCGCACCCATGTACCAACCCCTGCACCTCACGAATCACCTCTGCCCCTGTACTACCCCGACTTCACTCCGCCCTTCACGTGCGTTGCATGCGTGCTGGATTGTGAATTGCCGCATTGCGCTGCACCCACTTCCCCAGCACCACTCCGCACCACGCTGCACCACTCTCCCCCGAATTTTTCCAATCCCTTTTCTTTGCACCTGTCCTCCCGCCCACTCTTCTCCACCCCCACCCTCCACTCATCAGATCGGGTCAGACGGGGGCTACCTCCCTCGTCCAGCAGTGCGCACGTCACTCCTAGTGGCGCCAGCGGAGCGGTACGACATTCTCGTCGACTTCTCCTCGCTGCGCTCCTCCTCTGCTGACGTCATCCTCACCAACGACGCCCCGGCGCCCTTCCCTGCGGGCGAGCCAGTGACCAACGACACCACTGTCGTCATGCGCTTCATTGTCGATCATGAGAGCCCCCGCCTGCCCGCCCCACGCATCCCCAAGTCCCTCGTGGTGAGTTTGCTTGTTTGCTTGTTTCCTGGGAAGTCGTTTCTGTGTAGCTGCTGATGTGTGTCCTATCCCATCCCCGTGTACCCCGCGTCTCATTCTCTCACCATATCTCTCCCCCCCTCGCCCCATCTCCGTGCGTCTCCAGCCGGTGCCCCCTGTGGACACATCTCGGGTGGTGGTGGAGCGGTGGATCACAGCGGTGGAGGAGACAGACCCCGCAACGGGGCAGTCCATCCGCCTGCTGCTGGGCGACCTGCCCTACAGCGCCCCGCCCACTGAGACGCCCCGGGAGGTGAGTCACTGCTGGGGTCATGGGCCAAGGGGGCACATAGCGTGCGGTGCAGTCAACACCCATTCAGTGCGCATGCCAATTCTCCTCCATGTCCCCTCTCGGGCTTCTGTACGGCTATTTGGCCTTTGTCTAGCAGAGGTGATATTTGTTTCTCCTTGCGCCCCCTGTTGGTTGTCTCTCCCACCGGTGTGCTTGCAGGGTTCGGAGGAGCTGTGGCACCTGATCAACCTGACGCCGGACGCGCACCCCATCCACCTGCACCTCATTCAGCACCGCCCGCTGTGACGCCGCCCCTTTGACCTCGCCGCCTACAGCAACGGCACCTGCTCCTTCACCAACGCGGCGCTGCCGTCGTGCTTCACGGGCGCGCAGCAGCCCGTGGCGGCGTATGAGCGCGGGTGGAAGGACACCACCATCCTGCCACCCGCCACCGTGCTCACCCTCTGGACGCCCTGGTACTCCCAGGACGGCACGCCCTTCCCCTTTGACGCGACACGCGGGCCGGGGTATGTGTGGCACTGCCACATTGTGGAGCATGAGGACAACTCCATGATGCGCCCCCTCATCATCACCAAGTGAAGTGATGCGCCCCCCTGTACCAACGGCACATGTCATTCCTCTTCCAACGGCTCCAAGATATGAGATGACGCAATTTGGTGGTCACTTCAGGGTTCTTTTACAATTTCAATAGTCGGTTAGTTTGCAATAAGGCCTTCACTTTCTCGTGGCTTTTGAAAGGGTGATTTATGTACATAGTACAATAAATGAATGAATGGTTGGGTACACTGATGCAATGAATGCTGAATACGGTAGGCCCTGTGGAAAAAAAAAAAATAAAAATATGAATAATAAAACAAAAAACAAAAAACACAAAGTGCACTTCAATTATGGGGGCAAACGTACCCTACATACACCAGTAGTAGTACAATGCTTATGGTTCTAGCCACAAATGCTCACGCCTGTCAGTCAGGCAATTATTCTAACTTACCGGTATGCTAGAAATATCTTAGACATGCACTCATTCTTTAGAGGGTGACTCGGTTGCTAGAACAAGTTATCCTTCTTCGAGTACCGAACCTGCCGATGCTAACTGAAATCCCGGTTGCTGCCAGGAGACTCCTCTTCTCCTCTTCCTCCTCATGTTGTCAGATCAGAAGAAACTAACGAGCAGGAATGATTGCATTGAGCAGAATGTGGGTACAAGAGCAAACCCTAAATTGGGTTGTACCGTATCTTATATGAGCTACCCCACTACAGCCTACACAGCACAAACATGATACCGTCATCGCCCAAAAATAAGACATATATGTCTTATCTCGTACACGGGCAAAAATGCTTGAGTTATGTTGTAATCGGGATGGTTTAGGGTGTCTTATAGTCTTATAAATGGAAAAATAAAGTTGAATGTAACACTTGCAAAGTGTGTATAAACCACCCAGGGACCAGATTCATTGAAACAGGCCGACCTCGGTGGTGATGCATGCAGCGCCCACACTTGCCACGTGAGGGCTGCAGCAATGCTGCCACCGCTGGCAACATTTCTCTGTGCTGGCAGCATCTAATGATGCTGCCAGCGTCGTTTTGCTGCCAGCAGCGCATGGCAGCTTCCAGAACGCTGCTGGCAGCACGATGGCAGCGCGAGGGCTGTCCTCTACGAGGAGATTCCTCGTAGAGGAGCGGCTTGGCATCTGTGTATGGGGCACTCTGGCTGGGGGGCGGGGGTAGTCGGGCTCGTGCTTCATTTGGTGCTCAAGGAGGTTGAATGCTCGACTCAACCTTGCTCTCGGCAGGCTCTCTAACCATGCGCAGCAAGGTACCCCTAGGCAAGTCCTCACCTCGTCCTCACGAGCAGGTGAATAACTACGGGCGAATTAACTCGCCCGGCGACGACATCCGTGTAGCCATGGCAAAGAACGCGAGCAAGGCGGGAGGTCCTACCGCCGCCTCCGGTGTGAGCTGTGACGGCGACGACGGAGACGAAGCACATGGCGACGACGCGGAGGAGGATTGGCCGGAGAACGGCCACGACGACAGTGCTTAGGGCGACGAATTAGGTCCTGCCGACATTGAGGAGGACGAATGGTGGAATCAGCCGGTCGGGAGCGACGACGAGGTGGAAGAGCGGCGGGCTGGTGATTCTGACAACGACGGAGGTGACGAAGCCGACGGTGACAACGCGGAGGCACAGGAAGCGGCGGTGGATGCGAATGAGCGTGCCGACGAGGCGGAGGCGGAACTCGAGACAGTTGCGCCTGCGGATGCGGACGCTGTGGCGGAGGCGGACAAGGTGGCTGCGGACGCCGTCTTATTTGACGGTGAAGGCTCCGACGACGACCCGTGGAGCCTTGGGACAGACGACGACGTTCCGATACTGAAGCGGAGGCTGCGCCATCGCCTATAGTCCTCGACGAAGCGCGCCCGCGTGGTGCTCTCTGACGACGACAGTCCCGGGGAGGAGCGTCACCCGATACTCACTGCTGCGGACAAGGGGAAGGCCAAGGTCGTGGAAACCCCTGCAAAGTCCCCTGCTAAGGCCCCTGCTAAGGCCCCTGCTCGTCGCCGCACAAGCAACAAGAAGCGCAAGTCCGACGGAGACCTGTGATCCAGCAAGGGTGCGGCTAAGAAGAAGGCGAAGACGGCGCCGAATCCTGACGACATCATCGTGAACGAAGCGTTGGGCAGCGACGATGAGTACGCGGCAGCGGCGGGCCCGATTCCCACGTTCCCGGAGAAGGTCACGCCGAAGGACCCCACCCTCCATAATCCCAACACCCGCCCACCTTCCCCTCGCAGCAAAGACACTACGAAGAAGCGCCGCGGATGGACCGTGCGTGAGAAGCTTAAGTGGGCGCGCCGCTATCAGGAGGTCGGCTCCTTGAAGAAGACGAGCGGGGAGTCAACCGCGAGCATCGCCTGCATCAGATGCTGGAGCGCGGAGGCGGCTGCGGGCTTCTACAAGGGCGCGGCTAACTGCCGCAAGCGGATGCACGGGGGGGGGGGGGGGGGGGGGGGGGGGGGGGGCGCCGCGCACACTACCCCGACATGAAGGCAGCTTTGTACCGCTACATCTGCCTTCAGCGCGCTAACGGGGTGGCCATCTCGGTGAAGGACACCCAGAAGTGGAGCCGCGAGTGGATGAAGAAGCATTACCCCGGCAAGGATTGGAATGCGAGCTCTCACTGGAGCCAGCGTTTCCGTGACCGCTGGAACCTGGTGATGCGGGTGAAGACGAAGGTCGGACAACGTCTGTCGGCAGGTGCGTGAAAAATTAATTCGTGTCGCGCTCGGCCTGTTGTATGCATGTCTTACCGCGCCCAGTGTCTAACAATCCCGTGCTTGTGTTACGCTTGTCCCGTGTGTAGAGTGCGCGAAGGACTGCGAGTCCTTCTGGAAGTTTGTGCGCAGCAACAGGGCGCGGCACAACATCGACCTGGCCCGCATCATCAACGCGGACCAGACGCCACTGTTCGTGGAGATGACGGCCGAGAGGACGATCGAGCACCGTGGCGCGCGCTCGGTCCCAATCCGCACTGCAGGCTACCAGAAGACGCGCTTGATGGTGATGCTCGCGTGCACTGCATCCGGGGAGAAGCTGCGGCCTTGGGTGTGGTTCAAGATGAAGAACGTCCCCAACTGTGAGATTTCAGACGGTAAGCGCCATGAATTCAACCGTGCCTCTGCATCATGAGCGTGCCCCACTGTGCTGATGCCCGTCTGTCCCTTGTGTGCCTGGCAGGAATCGTGGTCCAAGCTCAGGACAACGGGTGGATAGACGAGAGCGTTGTGCAGACCTGGCTGTCAAAGGAGGTGCTGCCCCATCTGAACCCCCAGAGCGGCCAGAGCGCGAGGCGTGCGATGCTGGTGTTGGACTCCTACCGCGGCCACATCACCCAGACCATGCTTCAGTCGTACCGCACGCACAGCATCACCCCAGCAGTCATTCCAGCGGGTTGTACGAGCCAGATTCAACCCCTGGACGTCTCCATCAACCGGTGCTTCAAGGCTGCCGTGCGAGCGCGCTACGCCAGGTGGTTCATGCATGAAGGGATTCACCTGAAGACGAAGAAGGGTGAGTTGGCTGTTCATTTTCAATCCTGCTCTGTTTCGTGCCCTTATCGTTAACATATGCCTTCATGTCCGTGTCTTTAACAGTTCGCCGCTGTGTCCTCTGTCCCACCCGCAGGGAACCTGGGGAGGCCTCCGCACCCCGTGGTGCTGCAGTGGATCGCGGAGGCTTGGGATCAAGTCCCCAAGCAGATCATCATCGACGCGTTCCGCCACTGTGGGATCTCCAGCAAGCTGGACGGAACGGAGAACCACCTGGTGATGTCTCACCTGCGCGCCAGGAGCACCACCTTTGTCTCCGAGGACATGTCCCTCGGGGGGACCACAGGCGACAACACGCGCCTCCACGGGAAGGCTCTAGAGGAGGAGGAGGAGGAGGAGGAGGAGGAGGAGGAGGAGGAGGAGGAGGAGGAGGAGGAGGAGGAGGAGGAGGAGGCGATGCAGGCGGAGGGCGTGCGGGAGGTGGCCGTGGCAACTGGCCTGGAGGTGCTGTACCAGGAGACCCCCAACTACCGCGGAGCGGCGGCCGAGGCTGACCGCATGATCGAGCCTAGGGAGACGGCTAGGCATGCCTGGCGAGTGCCAGACCTGCGTGTAGAGCCTGCGGTTAGTGCTGGCGAGGAGGCGCTGATTGAGGGGGGTTAGTAGAAGTAGAGATTCAAGAATGTATGCATGTACCCCCTTAAAGGAAGGAAGATTCGTTTAGAAGACATCCCCTGTTTATAAGAAAACCCCTAAACCCCGGTTCTGATTATAAGACATATATTACTTATCTCGTACACACAAATAGGTGTCGTATAAAAAGGCTAGCCTGTTTATAAGAGACACCCGTATAGTAGACAACCCCTGTCTACTATTCAACACTGTCTTATATTTTGGCGATGACGGTAACAGTTTGACACACACCCATAGGCAAAGTGGGGGAGAACCAGTGGACACAAGACCAGTCAAGAAAAGAAAACCAAGCTCAGGTGGATCACAAAGTTACCACACATTCTGAGCACAAGCAAATGGCCACAAGGCCAGTTTACATGTAGAGTTATATAGAAAGAGAGCAAACAGTGCAGTGATCACTACCTAGCAAGAGTAAGCATGCAGGTATATATATAGATCACAGTACAAGCAAATTCATGCAGTGAGCAAGTGAGACGAAGCAGGCACAAGGCCTAAAGCAGTACAGAAACGCTGATGATCACCAAGCGGAAGTGCCTTGGTGAACACATCAGCAGTGTTGGCCCGAGTGGCCACGTAAGCAAGACGAAGCTGACCACGCTGCTGCAGCTTTCGAGCAAGGAAGTAAGGCAGAGGGATGTGCTTCGTTCGGAACTCCAGTCTGTGCTCCTGACACAAGGCAATAGCGGCCTTGTTGTCTACGTACAGAACTGGACGACAACAAGGCCGCTCTCCCAAGTCGGTCAGCAGGTAAGTGAGCCAGCGTAACTCCTGTGCAGCCATGGCTCTTGCGTAGATCTCAGCCTTACAACTGGAGCTGAGAACAGAAGACGGGCGGGTAGACCGCTAAGAAACAGAGCCCGAGCCAAGGCTGAACGTGTAACCATGTGACGACCGCTGCGTAGCCAGGTCGTCAACCCAAGACGCGTCTGAGTGTCCAGTGAGGACAACTGGACCCCGCCCTCCAAGCACGAGCCCCATGCCCGATGTACTGCACACGAACGCAGTACCCTCTTCTTAGCCTCCTAGTGCACCTTTCGGTGTCTACCGGGAGCCACGTAGCGTGCCAGAAGGCCAAGAGGGTACGCAAGGTCAAGACGAGTGCAGGTCATCAGGTACATGAGGCAGCCCACAAGCTCTGGATACGAGCCACTCGGCTCTACGGACTCGTCTGAAGGTGGAGCTGAGAGCGAGTAACCTGTAGCCAGAGGAGTGGACTATGGCGAGGACCAAGTGAAGCCGAAGCGCTGAAGGACTTGCTGCACCATGTGTGACTAAGTCAGGGTGATGGTGCGCCGTGCTCTGTCCCGGGTGATATGCAAGCCAAGGTAGCTGCGCAGCTCACCCAGATCTGTGCACGTGTGTCTCTTCTGCAGCTCCGACTTCACAAGGGCGAGTGCCTCAGTGTCAGCAGTTGCAAAGACCAAGTCGTCGACGTACACGAGGATGTAGAACGGCAGCAGCGAAGTGTCGGTGTGTTGAAACAACGACGTGTGAGTAGTGGAAGGGGCAAACCGAAGAGCCGCAAGTGTCCTCCTCAGTGTGTCGTGCCACTCACGAGGCGCCTGACGGAGACCGTAGACTGGCCGGCGGAGGCTCCATTGGGTACCAGGAGGGAACGACCCAGTGAAGCCAGGTGGGTGGCATAGTCAGACCTCCTCGTGCAGACTGCCCTGTAAGAACGCTGTGCTGAAGTCCAGAGAGTGAAGCTTGTAGTCACGCTGAGCGGCAACGTGCAGCAGCACCCAAAGAGTGGTCATCTTTGGGGTGGGGGAGAAGGTCTGGAAGAAGTCAACTCCCTGTCGCTGACTGAAGCCTCGTGCAACGTAACGAGCCTTGAAGACAGGAGGACAAGCCGGCGGCCGCTTCACGCTGACAATCCACATGCCATCGACTATGTTCGCCCCAGGAGGGGGAACTGCGTCGATGTAAATGCCTGTGGACTTCCAGGATGCCATCTTTGCGTCCATGGCTGCCTGCTATTGAGAGGAGTAGGGACCCGTAATCGCCTCTACGTAAGAGCGCGGGGTCGGGATGTCCAGTGCATCCGGGTCTCCCTCAAGTGCAAGCAGCATGGCCACTCAAGACACTCAAGACACAGCAGCCGCAAGACACTCAAAGTCCTCCTGCCTGTCCTCAAGGACATCCGTGCCAAGAGCACACTCACCCCCGACGGACGGAGGACAGACAGACTTAGACTCAGCAACAAGACTAGCGGCGTAGTCGAGACGACAAGCAGCAGCAAAGTCAACAAGCTCAGCGACTAAGGCAGACGCAGCAGCGGACTCAAACGAAGGGTCAGTGACAACAGTGGCTAGGAGACGCGTCACAGTAGGGCTCGCAGCACGAACTAGGTCAGACTCAGGATCCAGAACGTGCGGAAGAGAGGACTCAGGAGGAGACGGCATAGGGATACACTGTGGAACAGAGGAAGGACGAAGTGTCATAGTGTGAGTGCCAGGGACAGGAGGAGGACGCTGACGAGGAACACGACGACCAGTGCAAACAGCGCGAACAGGCGAGGCGAGACAATACGCAGGCTCACGACGCTCTGTAAGCGAGTTTGTCTGCTCAGTGTAAGGAGAAAGAGTAGGCAGTGGGGAGCCTGGCTGTAACAGAAAGCCAGTAGAAGACGGAAGGCTAAGAACCCGGCGAAGTACCGAGTCAGGCGATGGCAGAGATGACGGTGGCGGTGGAGCGAAGAACAGTCGCGGCTGTGCAGTACCACCAGCACCAGTACCACCAGCACCAGCACCTCCCGTGCGAGTACCAGCAGCTCCAGCGCCTCCAGCAGCTCCAGAACCTCCAGCGCCAGCGCCTCTAGCTCCAGCGCCTCCAGCCCCAATACCTCCAGCTCCAGAGCCTCCAGCTCCAGCGCCTCCAGCGCCAGCGCCTCCAGCTCTAGAGCTCGCAGCACCACCAGCTCCGGCAGCTCCAGCACCTCCAGGACGAGCACCTCCGGGACCAGCAGTGCCAGTACCACCAGCAGTGCCAGTACCAACAGCAACTCCAGCACCAACAGCACCACCGGCTCCAGCAGCTCCAGTTGCTCCAGTACTCGCACCTCCAGGACCAGCGGCTCTAGCTCCAGGGCCGCCAGCCCTAGCGCCTCTAGCTCCAGCGCCTCCAGCTCCAGCAGCGCTACTCCGAAGGCGGCAGCACTGAGCGTACCACACGCACAGCTGCTGTGGTGAGAGAGTACCTCCAGTACAAGCACCTCCGGGACCAGCAGTATCAGCACCACCAATACTGGCAGCACTACCAGCTCCGACAGCTCCAGTACCTCCAGTACGAGCACCTCCAGGACTAACAGCTCCAGCTCCTCCAGTACCTTCAGCACCTCCAGCAGTACCTCCAGCACCTCCAGGACTAGCAGCTCCAGCGCCTCCAGCTCCAGCAGCGCCACTCCGAAGGCGGAGCTGCTGAGCGTACCACTTGCGCGGCGAGAGAGGCTCCCGGAGTGGAAAAGCAGTACCCCTAGGCGTCGCACCCCCAGACTCAGCAACAACAGGCTCCGCACCCGCAGGCTCAGCACCCCCAATCTCTGCACACTCAGGCTCAGCACCCCCAGGCTCCACAAGCTCAGGCTCAGCACGCTCAGGCTCAGCACCCGCAGGCTCAGCACCCGCAGGCTTCGCACGCTCAGGCTCAGCATCCCCAGGCTCCTCACGCTCAAGCTCAGCACCCCCAGGCTCTGTACCCGCAGAATCAGCACCCCCAGGCTCCACACACTCAGGCTCAGCACCCGCAACCGGCTGCTGAGGCGGTGAAGTCGGTCGAGGTGGAAAACCCGGAGGGGTCTCCAAGCGTGGTGAGCAGCGGGGGGCCATCGCGTCGTCAACAGCAACGTCACCCCCCTCAGCCGGGCCACGTGACCTCGAAAGGCTCAGCCAAGGGGAGTGGGTCTACCTGAGACACACCTGAAGGAGCAGGACCCTGAGGGGGGAGGGAGCCTACCGGAAGGGGAAGAACGGCGGGTGCGGGGGAGGGGCAATGCGGTAGGGGAAGAGACGGTAAAAGGGAACCGACTCGTCAAATGTGACGTCCTGAGAGGACAAAACACGGCGCGAGGTGGGGTGGTAAAACTGCCAGCCAGGCACGTCAGGGGGAAGCCAAGGAAGACACAAGGAATGGTGCGGGAGCAGAGCTTGTCAGCGAAGGTATCGCGGACAAAGGCACGAGCGCCCCAGACCCGGAACACGGACGCATCGCGAGCCTCCCCCGTACAACGCAGTGTGGGCAAGGTCTCAGTCAAGGGGACACGCGGCCAAAGGTTGAGCTGATGCGCAACATACCGGACCGCAAACAGCCACAGAAAATGGGGAGCAGCCGCATGGATCAAGGAGGTACGAGCGACCTCCATGACTAAGCCAATGCGGCGCTCAGCAACCCCATTCTGCTGCGGGGAGGCCGGAAGCATGAACAGGTGGAGGATGCCCTCCCCCTGACAGAAGGCCCGCAAGAGGTCGGAGGAGAACTCACCACCTCTGTCAGAGTGCAGACGCAGGACAGGAAGGTCCCAGTGGAACTGCTCGCTGAGCTGGAGACAGACTGCACGAATCCAAGGGATCAAGACATCAGGGACCTCACCCTTGGTGCACAAGGGGAAGACCGTGGTGTAACGCGTGTAGTTGTCAACAACTACCAGAAAGTACCGCTCGCCGCCCTGTCCACGGACGCGGGCGGGGCCCCACACGTCCATGTGGAGAGTCTACAAGGGAGCCTCTGTCAGGGTAAACGAGGAGTGAGGAGCGGCGTGCTGCCGCCCCTCGACGCAAGGAATGCAGGGCGGGGCAGGGGAGCGCGGGAGGGAGGGCAGAGACCTGGGAAGACCAGAGACAAGGAGGCGGAAGTGCTCGCCACGGAGGCGTGGCAGGGAGGGGTGACCAAGGCGGTGGTGCCAAAGGAGAGACTGGTGCGAGAGGTGGCGACACAAGCAAGGGGTGGCTACGTGACCCGACGCATACACCTAACCAGACGCAGCTACCTGGGGAGGCTCAGTAGTCAGTGTGTACAGGCTCGACCCAGGCTGACGGGTGAACGTGGCCAGGTGACGGCCCGTCCGTGCACACGTGCAGATCACCACACGCTGTCCTCCAAGGTTAAAGGTATCAACCTAAGCCTCCTGAAGGACGGCGTTACCCACCAAGTTCGTAGAGAACGAGGGGAGGTGAAGGCCTGTCAGTGAGCCAGACGGAACCGCCGGACACGGGAGAATAGTGGAGGAACGTGCATGTCAGAATCCCAACCACTAACCACTGGGATAAAAGGGCTTGTTTGTGTAGCGGGTGAGTGCGCCCATAACCCCCCAGGCCAACGTGCCTGTAGCCCTTCCCTAGGATCAATCGGGGATCACCAGTGGACCTCTGACACCCCCCCGCACTGGGATGCTCGAGGTGCACACACCGGGATTCGAACCCGAGACCTTCGCTCTGATACCATGTCAGAATCCCAACCACTAACCACTGGGATAAAAGGGCTTGTTTGTGTAGCGGGTGAGTGCGCCCATAACCCCCCAGGCCAACGTGCCTGTAGCCCTTCCCTAGGATCAATCGGGGATAACCAGTGGACCTCTGACAGTGCAAGGACTGGGCCCCCTGAGGGGTCAGCCAGAGAGACTGCAACAGATGCAGGGAGTGGTGTGACTGTAGTGCTGTCGCGAAAGAAGCAGTTGGAAGCACCTGAGTCAAGGGTAAATGTGTGCAAGGCCTCAGCAGGCGCAGTACTAGAGAGAGCAGACTCACTAGCACCTAGGCCAGCTACCAGGGTCAGGGGGCACACACAGGTAACAGTCACCCTCAGTACTACCAGTCAGAGCATACATGGCAGTAAGGATAGTGTCATAGTCTAGAGCAAAGATATCCACCTTGTTGCGCAGCAGCTCTAGCCAGTGGGGGAGCTCAGCCTCGTTGCCAATCACTGCATGCCAGGCATCGTTGAGATAGGCGAAGCAGCGAGCCTATGTGCGACCAACTGTCCCGCAAGTCTGACCAGCCCGGGCAGCTGGCAGTACTCCTAGACCCCCCACTCTGAGCGTACCACTCACGAAGCTGCTGGCGCGTAAGGGTCTCGCCCGGACGTCGCTACAGCTACATCTGGCCACCGCCAGAAACTCCGCACTGACCAGCTCCACCGCGACTGCCACGACGGCCGCCGCCAGCACACCACCTGGCGTACCACTCACGAAGCTGCTGGGGCGTAAGGGTCTCGCACGGACGCCGCTGCAGCTGCATCTGGCCACCGCCAGAAACTCCCCACCGAACAGCTCCACAGCGACTGCTACTACGGCCGCCACCACTCCACCCGCTGACACCACCGCCGTCACCACTCCCACCGCTACTACGAAGTGAAGTCATTGCGGGCAAGCAAGGAGACGCACGACCAGTAGGGCAGTACGGAGGGAAGGCAGTAGCACGAGCAGCAGCAGCAGCAGTAAGAGCAGCAGAGCGGCTCGGTGAGGCTAGGCTGCAGCACCTCCAGCACTCCTAGTAGCACCTCCACCAGCAGCAGCAGTAGCACGAGCAGCAGGGCGGATCGGGTTGGGCAGGGCGGCTCGGGCTGGGCGGCGCGGCTCGGCCTGGGCAGCACGGGCAGCAGGGCGTGCACTGTGCAGGGCAGCAGGGTGCGACGCGCGGGCTGCAACAGGGCACGACGCGCAGGGTAGAAGAGCGCGACGCGCGGGCTGCAGCAGAGCGCGACGCGCGGGGCAGCAGAGCGCGACGCGCGGGCTGCTGTAGGGCGCGATGCGCAGGGCAGCAGGGCGCGACGTGCAGGCTGCAGCAAGGCGCGATGCGCAGAGCAGTAGAGCGCAACGCGCAGACTGCAGCAGGGCGCGACGTGCAGGGCAGCAGGGCGCGGGCTGCAGCAGGATGCAGGGCAGGGCAGTGCGTGCGCGGGGCAGCGCGACACATGGCAGGTCAGGGCGTGCGCGGGGCAGCGCGACGCAGGGCAGGGCAGGGCGTGCACGAGGTAGCGCAACGCGGGGCAGGGCGTACACGGGCAGTGTGATGCAAGACAGGGCAGGGCAGGGCGCGCGCTGATGGCGCAGCTCAGGGCAGGGCGTGGGGTACGGTCACTAGGTAATGGTGGGCCCGAAAAAAAAAACGGTCCTACGGACCTACTGCTCTGAAGCCATGTTAGAAAATAACGAGCAGGTATAATTACATTGAGCAGAATGTGGGTATAAGAGCAAACCCTAAACTGGGTTGTACCCTATATGAGCTACCCCGCTACAGCCTGCACAACACAAACATGATAACAGTTTGACACATGTAGCACACACTCCCCTCCTTCCCATCCCACCCAATCCAAAGCCCTGCTTGCTGTAATTCTCAGCCAGGGCTCTCGCTAGGTTTTTGGCCCATCTGAAACCCCAAACGGAAAAAAAATGGTTTCGTTTGACGCTCGGACGGGAAAATTTCGCTGGTCTGGTTTTTCATATGAAGGGTCATGGCTAGTCTGATTTTTTTTTTTCTTTTTTTTCCACGTCTAATGTGGCAACTTACAAGATGATGACACAGCAGCGCGTTAGCTGAACACTAGCGACCAGAGAGGCGAGGGACTATGGCCTGGGCTAGGGTAGGGTTGTTTGTTGAGAGCGAGTTGGTGGGGGGAGAGGAATGGTTGGCAATTTGGGCTGTTCTAGGAAGGGTGTGCGGGAGTTGGAGGATCAGACCGCACTACTGTACCGGGTGGGGCTTTGGGCTAGGCTGTAGAGGTGAGGGGAGCTTTTGGCTGGGCCGGTAACACGAAGGGGACATGGCGAAGGTGGCTATGGGATGGGCTGGTAGGGGCGACGGGGGCTTCGGGCTGCACTGGTACACAAGATGCCCAACCCCTGCACGCGAATTTGCCTTGCACCGGATGGAAACGCTGCACCCGAGGTTTTTACCCCGGGAAGTTGCTCCCACGATACAGTCACCTGGATGGCAGAGCACAGTGCACGCGCTACGACCAAATCTGCACATGAAATCTCGAACAAGGATGGCCGACCCTGGTTTGCCTTATTTCTAGGCTAGAGTCACACATGCAAGATGAGTGAACGAAACGTCGTCTGCTTCGTGAACGCATTCGCCCGATGCTCCCTGCCAACTAAGGAAGGTTCAGGGTGCATGTAACAGACAATCAGGCAGGTTCACCCTGCCACGTGTATCTTGCATTTGTGCGGTACAAGCGCACTAGCAACCAAGCGTTGTTTGGGCACCCCACGTCAGACATTGTGGTGTGTCGTTACAAAATAGCCCACCCGGACGTTCAAGGCAGATGCATGAAATTAACGTGACACGAATGTCTCCAAATGCCTCTGCGAACAAGGACCGCGCTTGCAATTAGCAACTCCTAAACACAAGATAAAACGTCACCATTGATGCAACTTCTGCATCGTGAATCCACAGTCGTCACCTAACCATGCCTCGCCTCTATCGCCAGGCGCAGCTCCCGCTGCACATTAAACGCGCCATCTGCCTGCACCATCACCCTCACCTGCGTCACGTCGACCTTGCGAGATGGTGTTTCTCCCAGTATGGCATTCGCTCGGACCGATCCACCACCAGTTCCATGCTGAAAGGTGCCGAATGTTGGGTTGTGGTTACGTCGCATAACAATCCAATCCGCCGGCTTGGAGGCGCATGGCCTGAGCTTGACGAGGCCATGGCGCGTTGGATATCTAACGAGGGGCCCGCCGGCGTGCCGTTGACCTTGCAGACTATTCGCGACCATGTCGCATCAATGGCACGTAACATGGGTATCCCGCCCACGTTTCGTTGCTTCATTGGCCTTCTGCGCCGTGCTTTGTGCCACCAGGGGGTGAGGTGCCGCGCAGCCGTCGGTGAGGCTGCCAGCGCGGACATCGCCACCGTCCGCGACTGCCAGGAGAAGCTCCCTCAACTGCTAATGCATCTCTTCGCCCGGCCGCGTGACACTTACAACCTCGACAAGACGGCGTTGTGGGTTGTCCGTGCTCCCGCGCCGTACTTACAGCAACGGCCGCATTCCAGGTCGTAAGATATCGAAGGAGCGCCTCACCATCACCTTTCCCGTCAATGCCGACGGTAACCACGTGTTCCATCCGTTGGTCATTTCGAAGGCGAAGCGCCCTCATGACTTCCGTCCGGATTACGACCCCAACACCCTTTGCTACTGGTGTAACAACGCCAAGGGATGGACGATGGCGCCCGTAAGTAATTGTATAGTGTGATGCGCGGTGGTGTATCTTATGGTGCATTACATATTATTGTCGAGGTATTATAGTACGTTCTTGGCTTGTTATCTCACATTCAACCATCCCGCGAACCCCCGATTCCCCCCCACAGTTGTTCAACCATTTCATCGAGCAACTCAATGCGGCGATGTAGCGGAGGGCCGCCACATCGTCAATTTGCTCGACAACGCGAGCTCGCACATGCTCAAGAGCGAGACGGCGTGGAGCGAAATCTTTCTCGAAATCCACACGACCCTGTTGAGCAACACCAGGATCGTTTTCCTGCCACCGAACACCACCACGTTCACCCAACCCCTTAACCAGGGGATCATCGCCACCGCCAAGGCCCGCTACCGCCAGCACTGGTTGCGGGCCTTCATGGCTTTGTGGGCGGCGGAGGGTGCCACAAGCGACGCTGCGCGGTTTCGCCCGAACCTGCGCGACGTGCATGCGTGGCTCGCGGACGTGTGGATGAGCGTCGGTCCGCGCACCATCCAGCGGTGCTGGTGGCGCACGGGATGCCTCCCGCATTCATGGGCCATGGAGCTGCCGCATGTGCACATTGACGAGCCTACCCCGTCAGCCTTTCCCGAGATCGAGCTCAAAGATGAGATTGGCAACGTCGGGAATCTCATTTCGGGCCTCGGCCTCGGGCCAAGCGCGATGCCGGCTGCTGAGTACGTCGCCATCGACGACGGTCAGCCAACGTGCGCTGAGACTACCGAGCACCCGCTGGCGAGAGGGCCTGGTGCAAACTTGGTGGTGGAAATGTGGGAGGCGCCCACCACCATGCAAGCCGTGTACGATGACTCCGACCCCGTAGGCCGTGATGCGCGGCGTACGGCACGGGCGGCATGCGAGATGCTGATAGGTTATGCGCGCGCTACTCGCATCACGCCGCGCGACCTGTGCCACCTATTCCACATCCGCAATCCGCTCATCATCGAGCGGATGGAGCGGGAGAGCAGAGGAGGGGGAGGAGGAGCTGCAGCTATCCCAGGAGATGAGGCACGCACTGTGGCTGCTGCAGCTGCTCTCATTTCGACTCATCTTGCAGCACCCGCTGCTCTCCTCTGCTCCCACCTTCACGCCCTGCTGTGCCTCCAAAACCTGAAGCAGCCACCTCCTCCGCGCTCCACTGTCAGAATAGTGAGAAAGAATGAATGCATTGAGCAAAGAAATGTGTACATATGCTAACCCTAATTGGGTTGTACCCCTTATGGGCTACCCCACTACAGCCTACACAGCACAAACACCATTATATATGTTTGACACACCCCCATAGGCAAGGTGGGGGAGTACTAGTGGTCACAACACAAGTCAAGAAGAGCAAAGCAAGCTCAGGGTGGATCACAAAGTCACCACACATTCTGAGCACAAGCAAAGGGCCACAAGGCCAGTTCACATGCAGAGTTATATAAAAGAGAGCAAATAGTACAGTGATCACTACCTAGCAAGAGTAAGCATGCAAGTATATGTGTGGGTCGCGGTACAAGCAAAGTCACGTAGTGAACAAGTGAGAAGCAGCAGGCACAAGGCCTAAAGCAGTACAGAAACGCTGATGATCACCAGACGGAAATGCCTTGGTGAATATATCAGCAGTGTTGGCCCGAGTGGCCACGTAAGCAAGACGAAGTTGACCACGCTGCTGCAACTCTCGAGCAAGGAAGTAACGCAGAGCGATGTGTTTCGTTCTGTGCTCCAGTCTGTGCTCCTGACACCAGGCACATAGGAACCTTGTTGTCGACGTACAGAACTGGAGGAGAACAAGGCCGCTCTCCCAAGTCGGTCAGCAGGTAGTAGAGCCAACATAAATCATGTGCAGCCAACCTTTCGGTGTCTACCGGGAGCCACATAGGGTGCCAAGGTGCTAAGAGGGTACGCAAGGTCAGGACGAGTGCAGGTCATCAGGTACATGAGGCAGCCCACAAGCTCTGGATATGGGCCACTCGGCTCTACGTACTCGTCCGAAAGGGGAGCTGAGAGCGAGTGTCAAGTACAAGAGAGGTTAATATAGCATGCAAGAGCGAATGTCGGAAAGTAGTTTGTGGGACTAGAAAGTAGAAGGCAAGAAAGCTAGAGTGCCACGTGGCGGTTTGGAAATCTAGGAAATCCCAAATGGATTGGATGAAGGTAAGGTTGGGATTGGATTGGGACAGTGAAGTACTTCATAACACAATCAATCTCAACTAAACCACGTTATACGCAAATACCTGTAATTTCTAATGTCACACATAATTTTAATGCGTATCACTTTGTAGACCGCTCTCTACAGTATGATAACTGATAGTACATTCCAGAAAGTACAACTTCTCAAATTAGTGGATACATTTCCTAGTTGATGCATCACCAATCATAAAGGACAACAATTACAATATATTTGTTGGATTTAGATACATTAAATATTACAATTATTAACATCAGTTGAACTTTGGTTACATACCTTCTCAAAACTATCGTACAGGAAAGGGATTCGGTATGTGTTAACGTCAGAATAGACTAGCAGGAATGAATAGACTAGAAGAAAGTTGGATACAAGTATGAAACCCTAAAGGGAATATACCCCATATTGGCTACATAGGCAAAGTGGGGGAGAACAAGGGGTCACACGACCAGTCAAGAAAAGCAAAGCAAGCTCAGGGTGGATCACAACGTCACCACACACACTGAGCACAAGCAGAGGGTCACAAGGCCAGTTCACATGCAGAGGTATATATGCAACAACAACAGCACGGTGATTACTACCTAGCAAGAGCTAAGTCTACAACAAGTGAGGAAATGTAGGCACAAGGCCTAACAAAGTACAAAAGCGCTGATGATCACCAGACGGAAGTGCCTTGGTGAACATATCAGCAGTGTTAGCCTGAGTAGCCACGTGAGCCAAACGAAGCTGACCACGCTGCTGCAACTCTCGAGCAAGGAAGTAACGCAGAGCGATGTGCTTCGTTCTGTGCTCTAGTCTGTGCTCCTCACACAAGGCAATGACGGCCTTGTTGTCTACGTACAGAACTGGAGGAGAACGAGGCCGCTCTCCCAAGTCGGTCAGCAGGTAGGTGAGCTAGCGTAACTCCTGTGCAGCCATGGCTGTGGCGTAGATCTCAGCCTCACAACTGGAGCTGAGAACAGAAGACGAGCGTGTAGACCGCCAAGAAACAGAGCCAGAGCCAGATCTGAAGGTGTAAAGATGTGACGACCGCTGCGTAGCCGGGTCGTCAACCCAAGAAGCGTCCGAGTGCCCAGTGAGGACAACGTCACCCCATCCTCCAAGCACGAGCCCCATGCCAGATGTGCTGCACAAGTAGCGTAGTTGCCTCTTAGCAGCATCCATGTGCACCTTTCGGTGCCTACCAGGAGCCACGTAGCGAGCCAGAAGGCCAAGAGGGTACACAAGGTCAGGTCGGGTGCAGGTCATCAGGTACATGAGGTAGCTCACTAGCTTTCAGTACAGACCACTCGGCTCTACGGACTCGTCCGAAGGTAGAGCTGAGAGCGAGTGACCTGTAGCCAGAGGAGTGGACTGTGGCGAGGACCAGGTGAAGCCGAAGCGCTGAAGGACCTGTTGCACCATGTGTGACTGAGTCAGTATGATGGTGCGGCGTGCTCTGTCTCGGGTGATCTGCAAGCTAAGGTAACCGCGCCGCTCACCCAGGTCTGTGCACGTGTGTCTCTTCTGCAGCTCCGACTTCACCAGGGCCTCAGTGTTAGCAATGGGAAAGACCAAGTCGTGGACGTACACGAGGATGTAGAACGGCGGCAGCGAAGTGTCAGTGCACTGAAACAGCAACGGGTCAGCAGTGGAAGGGGCGAACCCAAGAGCCGCAAGCGACGACCTCAGTGTGTCGTGCCACTCATGATGCGCCTGGAGGAGACCGCCCCTGGGACCCGCGCGCGGCCCGTACGGGCTGCGCCAGGCCCGCGCGCGGCCCGTACGGGCTGCGCCAGGCCCGCGCGCGGCCCGTACGGGCTGCGCCAGGCCAGCGCGCGGCGCGGGCAGCCTGCGCGCGCCTCGTCCGTCCCCCTCTCGCCGTCCCCCGCGCTCCTGCCCCTATCCCACCCGTTTTAGGGTTTGGGGATGTGGAGTGTGGGGGTGGCGGGTGTGGGGGTGCCGGTTGTGTGCCCCGTCCCCTCCTTCTCCTCCTCCTCCGTCTCCCGCTGCTGCAGCTGCCGCTCAGGGGGGTGGTTGTGTGGGGAGCCGAAGGAGTGGTCCTAGGGGGGTGAAGGGGGAGTGGAGCTAGGGGCGCAGCAGGGGGTGTGTGTCGAGGGGTGTGGGACTGTTGGGGGAGGTTGAGCGGAGGTTGCCGTCGTGTCGTACGCAGCGCCTGTACTCCGGGGCACTCATTCCCGGTAGCTCAGAGAGCCGGTTGCGCCGTCGCCTGTGGGTCCGTTGCTCCTGCCGCGCATATTAGCCGCGGAGCCTGTTACTCCTGTACTCCGGGGCACTCATTCCCGGTAGCCACGTTGTCGCACCAGAGCCGTCTGTTGCCCGTGTGTCTGCATCTTCAGTCGTCGCCTCCTATCTACTCTCCTCTCACCAGCCCTCCTCCTCCTCACTTGCCCCCTGTGACTGCCTCTAGCTTTGCTCATAATTGTGAACCTTAAACTATTGCTTCTTGCTTGTGCTCAGAATGTGTGGTGACATCGTGATCCACCCTGAGCTTGTACTACTTTGCTTGCTCTGCTGATTACACCCCACTTTGACTATGGGGGTGTGTCAGAATATTATGCTCTAGCCTGCAGTGGGGTGCTCTATAGCGAGTACAACCCTTCTAGGGTTAGCTATTTGTACCACCATTGTTGCTAGTGCAAACCTCTCTCCTTTTCATTCTTTCTTGCCTAGCTTGTTTCGACAACCGTTGCGCTAGTGGCACCTATGGCGCCAGTGGCGAACGTGGTGCCATACGCGACTGACGCGGAGCAGACGACCGAGGCGTACGCGCCCTACAGGCAATCGCGTCAACGCCAGAGGCACCGAATGGTCGCCCCGTCTAATGCGACCGCTGACTCTGGATAGACCCAAGCGTGGACCCCAGACAAAGTCAAGGCGCTTTTGTCCCTGTTTCAGCAGCGACCCACTAGCGTGAATGAAGCCGAAACTATACAACATGGGCATCATTTTCTGCTGAACGCGATACTTCGTAGAAGGAACGATGCCAAATGATCAGTATAAAAAAGCAAGCTTTTTAGTTTAAGTGGCTCTAGAAGCCGAGTCACCCTTCGGAGAGTGGGTGCGATAGTGTTAGGATAGGTTAGAATGATTGTCTGATAAGTTGAAGCTATTGGTGTAGTGTACAATTGGGTAGTAGGTATATCCCAGAATGCAATGTGATGTTCTTATGTACTATCTGATCAGATCAGATCCGTTCAGGTCATACCGTATGTGTACGCAAATGTCTGGGATGCAGACCTCTTGATATCATGGTAACTCACCCTTAGTCCCTTACTATAAGGCTTGGTGTCCTTTTGCACCCTTTTTTTCAAGAGTGAATATTGTTTAGACCCTTACAAGAAAAAATGTTTGACTTTATTACCTTGATATTTCACAGTGCAATGGTGTAACAACACTTACCGTATTCTCCCGGACAAAACACCCCCCCATGATAGAGCACCCCCGGGTAGCTTGTGCGGGGTGGGTGCTATGGGCGACCTCGATTTCACTATACCCCCCTTTTCGTACAGATTCTATATTATAGCTGTTAACGAGTAGGTGCAAGGACGGGAGTATATTGCGAAAATCCCTCGCTCGATGAAATTTCCCGGTTCTTTCACATCAAATCTGCCGAGATTCCCCCCCCCCCCCGCCAATATTTCGCTGTCGCCACGTGCTGGCGAATCTTCCGCTGCAGGTGGCCAGAGAGGTGCCAAATGACATTTTCGAGGGGGTGATGACGTTCGCGTCGAAACTCACATTCGCGCCTCAACATGTGACGTTAAAAAAGCCCATGGAAACACTCTAACACGAAAAATATACCACTATATGCACCCGGGTATTATGTAGCCTTTTCCTATCAGAATACACCCCCCTTTTTTTTCCTGTATTTTTAGATCTACCCTAGGGTGTTATGTCCGAGAGGATACGGGTACGATACCTAGCAACTTCTTACAGGGTATATGCAGATTCCTTCGAAAAAGACATCGTAATCGCAAAATTCGTGCGCACCAGTAGATACCGGTTGGCAAGTTCAAGTATCGAACCTGCGTACCGTACTTCACTTTGGCAGTGCAATAAAATCGACTGCACAACCAAAAGGCGATACTCTGTTGACATAAAAATACTAGGGTGTGTATTTCCTAATAAGAAAGAGTGTTTGTTTTTGCATACCCTTACAGAAAGAGTTAAAGGAGAAGATTAGCCTGATGCAAAAGAGCACCTCAAAACCTATCCAGAGGCCTGCTGGGATGCATGAGTTCATTTACAGGTACCATATCAGAAATTCAGCCGTACACTTATTTCACTTCGTACACGACCCAAATACCTCTAAACTGAAGGCCTTTTTGCAAACTCATGAATGACTGAACAGATTGGAAACGAGAATAAAACCCTGCGATGACCACCCAAACGACATGATGCAATTTCTTGGTGCGGTTGGAGGGCGGTATAGACATTGGCGCGCGTCACTTGGTGATGATGAGGGGGCGCATCATGGAGTTGTCCTCGTGCTCCACAATGTGGCAGTGCCACACATACCCCGGCCCACGTGTCGCGTCAAAAGGGAAGGGCGTGCCGTCCTGCATGAAACGTACATTGGGACAGTCAGTTGGCGAGTGGGCAGCAGCAGGCAGCCAGTTGGCCAGTGTGTTAGAATCTAGCAGCAGGAATGAATGCACTAGCAGGATGCAGGAGTACAAGTAGTAAACCCTAATTTGGGTTGTACCCCATATGGGCTACCCCACTACAGCCTACACAATAAGCAGCATATATGTTTGACACACCCCCATAGGCAAAGTGGGGGAGAACAAGGGTCACACGACCAGTCAAGAGAAGCAAAGCAAGCTCAGGGTGGATCACAACGTCACCACACTCTCTGAGCACAAGCAAAGAGCCACAAGGCCAGTTCACATGCAGAGGTATATATATATGCAACAACAATAGAGCAGTGATCACTACCTAGCAAGGGCAAGCATGCAGAACATATATATATATATATATATATATATATATATATATATATATATATATATATATATATATATATATATATATATATATATATATATATATATATATATATATATATAGATCACAGTACAACCAAAGACTACAGCAAGTGTGGAAACGTAGGCACAAGACCTAACAGGGTACAAAAGCGCTGATAATCACCAGACGGAAGTGCCTTGGTGAATATATCAGCAGTGTTGGCCCGAGTGGCCACGTGACGAAGACGAAGCTGACCTCGCTGCTGCAACTCTCGAGCCAGGAAGTAACGCAGAGCGATGTGCTTCGTTCTGTGCTCCAGTCTGTGCTCCTCACACAAGGCAATGGCCGCCTTGTTGTCAACGTACAGAACTGGAGGAGAACGAGGCCGCTCACCCAAGTCAGTCAGCAGGTAGGTGAGCCAGCGTAGCTCCTGTGCAGCCATGGCGGTGGCGTAGATCTCAGCCTCACAACTGGAGCTGAGAACAGAAGACGAGCGTGTAGACCGCCAAGAAACAGAGCCAGAGCCAAGGCTGAAGGTGTAACCCTGTGACGACCGCTGTGTAGTCTGGTCGTCAACCCAAGACGCGTCTGAGTGCCCAGTGAGCACCACCTCACTCCGTCCTCCAAGCACTAGCCCCATGCCTGATGTACTGCACAAGTAACGCAGTACCCTCTTAGCAGCAGCCATGTGCTCAGGTCGGTGCCGACCAGGAGCCACGTAGCGAGCCAGGAGGCCAAGAGGGTACGCGAGGTCAGGACGAGTGCAAGTTATCAGGTACATGAGGCAGCCAACTAACTCTGGGTAAGGACCACTCGGCTCTACGGACTCGTCCGAAGGTGGAGCTGAGAGCGAGTGACCTGTAGCCAGAGGAGTGTGCTGTGGGGAGGACCAGGAGAAGCCGAAGCGCTGAAGGACCTGCTGCACCATGTGTGACTGAGTCAGGGTGATGGTGCGGCGTGCTCTGTCCCGGGTGATCTGCAAACCAAGGTAGCTGCGCAGCTCACCCAGGTCTGTGCACGTATGTCTCTTCTGCAGCTCCGACTTCACCTGAGCGAGAGCCTCAGTGTCAGCAGTGGCAAAGACCAGGTCGTCGACGTAGGATGTAGAACGGCGGCAGGGAAGTGTCGGTGCGCAGAAACAGCGACGGGTCAGCAGTGGAAGGAGCAAACCCAAGAGCCGCAAGTGTAGTCCTCAGTGTGTCGTGCCACTCACGTGGCGCCTGGCGGAGACCGTAGACTGGCCGCCGGAGGCTCCACTAAGTACCAGGAGTGAAAGACCCAGTAAAGCCAGGTGGGCGGCGCAGCCAGATCTCCTCGTGCAAGCTGCCCTGTAAGAAGGCTGTGCTGAAGTCAAGAGAGTGAAGCTCGTAGTCACGCTGAGCGGCAACGTGCAGTAGTATCCGAAGAGTGGTCATCTTCGGGGTGGGGGAGAAGGTCTGGAAGAAGTCAACTCCCTCTCGCTGACTGAAGCCTCGAGCAACGTAACGAGCCTTGAAGACAGGCGGAGAACCCGGCGGCCGCTTCACCCTGAAAATCCACATGCCATCGACGATGTTCACCCCAGGAGGGGGAACCTCATCGACGTAAGTGTTAGTGGACTTCCATGATGCCATCTCTGCGTCCATGGCTGTCTGCCACTGAGAGGAGTACTCACCCGCGATCGCCTCAGCGTAAGAGCGCGGGGTCGGGATGTCTGGTACATCCGGGTCTCCCTCAAGGGCAAGCAGCATGGCCACGAGATGAGGCGCAGCGGCTGCAAGACACTCAAGGTCCTCGTGCCTGTCCTCAAGGATGTCCGTGCTAAGAGCACACTCACCCCCGACGGACGGAGGACAGATAGACTCAGACTCAGCAACAAGATTGGCAGCGAAGTCTATACGACAGGCAGCAACAATATCAACAAGTTCAGCGAATAGACAACACAGCAGCAGACTCAAACGACGGGTCAGTGACAACAGTGGCTAGAAGACGCGTGACAGTAGGATGCTCAGCACGAAACCGGTTTGACTCAGGATCCGCGACGTCAGGCAAAGAGGACGCAGGGGGAGACGGAAGAGGAGTACGCTCCGGAGGGGAGGACCGACGCAGGGCTACAAGGGGTGTGCCGGGGACAGCCGGCTGACGCTGACGAGGAACACGAGGCCGTCCCGCGCTCATACGCCGCCACGGGCTGCTGCGCGCCCGTGAAACACGACGGCAGCGCCGCGTTGGTGAAGGAGCAGGTGCCGTTGCTGTAGGCGGCGAGGTCAAAGGGGCGGCGCCACAGCGGGCGGTGCTGAATGAGGTGCAGGTGGATGGGGTACGCGTCCGGCGTCAGGTTGATCAGGTGCCACAGCTCCTCCGAACCCTGCGAGCACACCGATAGGACACAGCCAATAGGGGGCGCAAGGAGAAGCAAATATCACCTCTGCTAGACAAATGCCAAATAGCCGTACAGAAGCCCGAGAGGGAACATGGAGGAGAATTGGCATGTGCGTACTGAATGGGTCTTGACTGCACCGCACGCTATGTGCCCCCTTGTGCCATGACCCCAGCAGTGACTCACCTCCTGGGGCGTCTCAGTGGGCGGGGCGCTGTAGGGCAGGTCGCCCAGCAGCAGGCGGATAGACTGCCCCGTGGCGGGGTCTGTCTCCTCCACCGCTGTGATCCACCGCTCCACCACCACCCGAGATGTGTCCACAGGGGGCACCGGCTGGAGACGCACGGAGATGGGGCGAGGGGGGGAGAGATATGGTGAGAGAATGAGACGCGGGGTACACGGGGATGGGATAGGATACACATCAGCAGCTACACAGAAACGACTTCCCAGGAAACAAGCAAACAAGCAAACTCACCACGAGGGACTTGGGGATGCGTGGGGCGGGCAGGCGGGGGCTCTCATGATCGACAATGAAGCGCATGACGACAGTGGTGTCGTTGGTCACTGGCTCGCCCGCAGGGAAGGGCGCCGGGGCGTCGTTGGTGAGGATGACGTCAGCAGAGGAGGAGCGCAGCGAGGAGAAGTCGACGAGAATGTCGTACCGCTCCGCTGGCGCCACTAGGAGTGACGTGCGCACTGCTGGACGAGGGAGGTAGCCCCCGTCTGACCCGATCTGATGAGTGGAGGGTGGGGGTGGAGAAGAGTGGGCGGGAGGACAGGTGCAAAGAAAAGGGATTGGAAAAATTCGGGGGAGAGTGGTGCAGCGTGGTGCGGAGTGGTGCTGGGGAAGTGGGTGCAGCGCAATGCGGCATTTCACAATCCAGCACGCATGCAACGCACGTGAAGGGCGGAGTGAAGTCGGGGTAGTACAGGGGCAAAGGTGATTCGTGAGGTGCAGGGGTTGGTACATGGGTGCGGAGTGGCATGGAGTGGTGCTGGGGAAAAGTGGCAAGTCACAGTGGCTGGCACGCACCACAATGATGGGCAGCTTGTCGCCAGAGAAGGGCGGGGTGAAGTGGGGGTAGTTGCGGGGGGTGGTGCAGATGAAGCGCAGATTGAAGAAGCGCGTGTTGGCCGCCCCCAACACCCGGAAGCGGTACAGCGCCCTCCGCACCTTCAGGTACGGCCACACCTGCCACGCATAAAGCAGGGCGGGGAAGAGCAAAGGGGGGAGGAAGAATGGGGAGATGAGGGGGGAGAGGAAGACAGGGAGCAGAGGAAGCAGGCAGCACATTACCCGTGACATGACAAAAGCAAAGAAAGCTGGAACGTGGGAACACAGAGCAGAGGAGACAAGGAGTGGGAACGTGGGAGAGTGGGAGAGCAGGAGAGTGGCAGTGAGAGGAGCAGAGGGGAGAGGTCAGGGAGGACTGAGCACCTTGCCAGTGACGAGGATTTTGTCTCCCAGGTACTCAGGCACCCAGTGCGGGTGCACGCGCGGCAGCACCCCTTGGCTCGGGTAATCAATCGACCCGTTAGCAAAGAACCTCCGGTCCGACAGAGCCAGCGGCACGCAGAACTCCCCCTGCGGCAGCCAGGCGTTTAGGGTTCTCTCCACCCCGCGCGGGTCAGTGAGGACGAAGAAGCCGGTGAGGCCAGCAGCGATGTTGAGGCGCGTGATGGCGATGGCGTGGTCGTGGTACCAGAGGGTGGTGGGCAGCTGGTGGTTGGGGTAGTGGTACAGCCGTGTGCGGAAGGTGCGCCCCACCTCGCTGTACTGCGTGAACCAGGCTTCGGGGTGCCCGTCTGAGAAGGCCGGCTGCTCGCCCCCGTGCCGGTGCGTCACTGGGAGGGGTTGGGGAAGGGGTTGGGCGACGGGGGGGATGGGGGGAGTGGAGCGCGAGTGAGGAGCAGAAGAGGCGAGTCAGCACGTGGACCAAGTGGCAGTGGACTCCACATGAGGCAACGAGGCTCATCGATGGGAATGCGCCTCACCGATGGGGATGCCGCCCAGCAGAAGGAGCAGGAGAGGTGAGGCAGCACATGCACGGTGCACTGACTCTGCAGTGCACTCTACAGGGGAGCAGCGCGGCTCAAGGGCGGCTCACCGATGGGGATGCCGCCCAGCAGCGTGGCTCACCGATGGGAATGCCGCCCAGCAGCGTGGCTCACCGATGGGTATGCCACCCAGCAGCGTGGCTCACCGATGGGAATGCCGCCCAGCAGCGTGGCTCACCGATGGGAATGCCGCCCAGCAGCATGGCTCACCGATGGGAATGCCGCCCAGCAGCGTGGCTCACCGATGGGAATGCCGCCCAGCAGCGTGGCTCACCGATGGGAATGCCGCCCAGCAGCGTGGCTCACCGATGGGAATGCCGCCCAGCAGCGTGGCTCACCGATGGGAATGCCGCCCAGCAGCGTGGCTCACCGATGGGAATGCCGCCCAGCAGCGTGGCTCACCGATGGGAATGCCGCCCAGCAGCGTGGCTCACCGATGGGAATGCCGCCCAGCAGCGTGGCTCACCGATGGGAATGCCGCTCAGCAGCGTGGCTCACCGATGGGAATGCCGCCCAGCAGCGTGGCTCACCGATGGGAATGCCGCCCAGCAGCGTGGCTCACCGATGGGAATGCCGCCCAGCAGCGTGGCTCACCGATGGGAATGCCGCCCAGCAGCGTGGCTCACCGATGGGAATGCCGCCCAGCAGCGTGGCTCACCGATGGGAATGCCGCCCAGCAGCGTGGCTCACCGATGGGAATGCCGCCCAGCAGCGTGGCTCACCGATGGGAATGCCGCCCAGCAGCGTGGCTCACCGATGGGAATGCCGCCCAGCAGCGTGGCTCACCGATGGGAATGCCGCCCAGCAGTGGGCGGGGAACGTCGTCGAGGGTGTAGTCGACGGGACACATGTGGTGGCGGTCCGTCAGGTGGTTCTCCCAATACACCTGCCACGGAACCCCGTCCCCCCGGTACCATCAAACAGCACACAGTCCCGGTCAAAGTCAGCACAGCCCCGCACATAGGCATTCCGATAGAAGCACGCACAGCAGAACACGAGAGAGAGCAGCGGCGGGCGGGCGGGGAGGTGGGCGGGGAGGCGGGTGGGGAGGCGGCGGTGACTACCTTGGTGGGCACGCCGCGCTGCGCGACGAGCGTGGGGCCGGGGTAGTGCGTCGTGGCGGCGCTGCGGCCGTACGCGTACAGCTTCGTTGGCGGCAGATCGCGGTGCAGCTTCTGCAGCCCGTGGGGGGTGGGGGAAGGTGTCGGAGAGGCGTCAGGAAGGGGCGAGAGGGGAAGAGAAGAGAGGCAGGGAAAACGAGAAAGCAAGGAGCGGAAGGAGAAGCGAGCAAGCGGAAGTGCGTGCGGAAGAGCAGGGGGCGGATGGGGGGGATTGGGGAACTGGCCTGGCGGATCTGGTAGGCGCCGATGCGGATGGGCGCGCCGGTGGCGGCGTCGATCTGCTCGGGAATGGAGTCGCGCAGATCGTCCACGAACTTGCACAGCCGCGGGAACTCGGTCTCGCACTCCGGTCCCGCTAGAGGCGTCCCCGCTACTGTTGCTAACGGGACGAAGCACGCGGCGACTGCTGCGAGGAGCAGCGCGAGGCGGAGACGCGGCGGGAGAAGGGCAGGGCGAGGCATGGCGCGCGGTGGTGCGATGAAGGGCGCCGTGGGAGAGGAACGGCGACGAACGAGACGGACTGCGGGGGTGAGTGGCGCGGGCTGTACTCGCAGCAGGTCGTGCCGATAACGGATGAATGCGACGCTCGGTTGAGTTGCAAGTAGCGATCACAACGAGCCGATTATATAGCTCGAGGGGCACTGGGCCACCGCGGTGCGGATTCGACATAGTGCTCTCGCGATTCGAAGACGCTATTACTGGAAAACGTCTGGGCGTGTAAGGACAGCTCATTCAGACAGCGCGACGCGAACGCTGGCCACTCGTGCGCCTTGGGATTGCACCGGTGACAGCAAGCCGCCTCCGATGCGTAGATTGCATACTCGCCGTCGATTCGGCTCTGGTGACACTCTGATCTGATCGACAGCCTCGCAAACAGCCATATCGCCGTTGCTTGGACTAGATTGACAGATTCTAATTCGATCGCCAGCGAAATCAGCGGCAACCTGTGAAGCTGTCAGCCTAGTGAGCTCCGTGATTGCAGCCATTGCGGACCTGGAATGACTGACCGTGATTGCCCTGCCTACGACCCCATCACCGCTCGGATGGGAATTGATAACGCGTTATGAGCTAGCTCTCGCACATGTACTACGTTGTCAGCGACCATGCAGTACAGAGTTTGCACTGTGTAGCTTATACAAATCATGGGAAGCGTTTGCTGTCATGTTTTCATTTTTTCCCTACCAATCTCGTTGTCAAATCAAAGTAACGCTTACCGTATCTTCTTCCTATATGTTGGTTCCGGAAAAGACTGTAACCAAAGTTCAATTGATGTCGTTAATTGGAATCGTTAATGAAGTTATATCCAGGTAAGATAGGTACTGTAATTGTTGTTCGTTATGATTTGTGATGTATACACTAGGAAAAGCATCAACTGATTTGGGAGAAATGTACTTTTACAAGTTACGCTACAAGTGTACAGCGCTATACGCGGTAAAATCAGGTGTGACATAAGAACTTATGGGTACTAGCGTATTACATGGTTTAGTGGAGATTGATTGAAAGTGCTCCACTGGCGCCACATACCAAACCATACCCCACAGAAACAAGCAGAAACCGAGCGAATTCAGCGGCAGCCTGTGGGGCTGTCAGCCTAGTGAGTTCCGTGATGGCAGCCATTGCGGATGACTGACCGTGATTGCCCTGCCTGCGACTCATCATCTCCGCTCGGATGAGAATTGATAACGCGTTATGAGCTAGCTCTCGCACATATACTACGCTGTCAGTGACCATGCGGTACAGAGTTTGCACTGTGTAGCTTATAAAAAGCATTCGTAGTGAGGTATCATTGGATCTGTTGTCGGTCTGGAGTGTTTTATCATGGGAAGCGTTTGTTGTCATTGCTACAATCAGATGGTGATGGCTGCCAGGATCTACTCGTAATGGTTCGCACGCAGGTAGATAGTGTTGGTGGGCCCTTGACCTCAATAGCAGAGTGAATGTAAAATGCTTGAGATGATTAAAACTTGCAAATACAAGGGATATAAATATGAGTACAGGGGAATTCGAATCGACCTAGCTAGCCATGTACTCTGTTGAAATTAGGAGGTCGCTAGAGTAGCGGAATTACTCTAGGAAATAACGACGTCCCAGCGGCGGGGCAATGGTCACTCAGAGGTAGCTCTCCTGGCTTGTAACTTGGTGCCAAAGCGGCGGCCGAGGGTAGGCCGGACACAAGCTTGAGAATTGTGTAATTATAGCATGGCAATACATTGATTTATATAGGAAACAGATAGGGCAAACAGTTACCAAGGCGCAACTGTATTACAGTTGCGCTGTAACGCTTTGGTTGCCCTGTTACAGTCGCGCTGGCGCGACTGTTCAGCTTCGGCAAGGGCGCGGTATTCTGCCGCGCCCTGCAGGGCAGTTTCGTGCACTGTAGTCGCTGCCTCCTGCTCCAATTCGACCCTTCGTATGCCACGCGGGGCGCAACCACTGTGTACGGTTGCGCACCTGCAGATCGAGACTTGAGTCAACTTCCTCGATATGGGGCGCTTCGCTTCTGCACTTCGAACAGTGCAGTACAATAAATGCTTTCGTAAAAACCATATCGTAACACTCCCCTCCACTGTTAGAAGTGTAGAAACGAGGGGGAATGAAGTTCTGCCGGGATGAAGCCGTGAAGTTCTTGCCAGGGACTTCACCGGTACGCCTTGAAATGCGTCTTGCCGAGTCGCTCGAAATGTTGCGTCGGCGTGTTGAAGATTTCCTCCACGTAGTGCTCCGTGGGAAGTGGCAGGTCGGGCCCGCTCCAGGAGTTGCTCCTGGTGATGATTCAGGTGGTGAGCCGAGTAGTATGACTCTGCTCCCACAGGTCCAAGTGTTTGAACGCTTGCTCGTGATACCATGTTGAAATTAGGAGGTCGCTAGAATAGTGGAATTACTCTAGGAAATAACGACGTCCCAGCGGCGGGGCAATGGTCACTCAGAGGTAGCTCTCCTGGCTTGTAACTTGGTGCCAAAGCGGCGGCCGAGGGTAGGCCGGACACAAGCTTGAGAATTGTGTAATAATAGCATGGCAATACATTGTGTTTGTATAGAAATGCAAAGGAATGAATACGAAACGACCTAACTAGCCATGTACTCTAAGGGGTACATTCCCTTATTGCAGCGAAATTCAAACTGTGCG